GGAGGGGATGGCTATTGTTGTTGCTAGTTGGACCATCTGAGATTAGGGTGATTCCTCTAACCTGGATTGTACCTGTTGCTGGAGAGATCATAACTTTGCTGCTGCTGTTGGATAGGAGGTCTGTTGTAAATATTTACAGCATAGGCCTCTGGTTGTTCATTTACTCCAGACTGTTCCAGAGAAGGGCAAACATTTGTATGATGATCTGTTGAAGAACAAATGTCGCAGACCCTTGCTACAGATGTGGATCTCTGATTTATAGCGAGTTGATTCACTAGGTTCACCAATGCATCAAGTTTACTCTCTAGCTTCCTATCTGCATCAGTGGCCACATCATGAACTCCTTTAACGATAATTGAATTGTCAATTCTGGCATTGAGTTGTTGAGAATTGGAAGCCATCTTTTCTATCAAGTTCCTAGCTTCAACTGGGGTCATGTCACCAAGTGCTCCACCACTTGTAGCATCTATCATACTCTTTTCCATGTTATTCAGCCCCTCATAAAAATATTATAGCAACAACTGCTCAAAAATTTGGTGGTGAGGACAGCTTGCACACAATTTCTTGAATCTCTCTCAGTACTCATACAAGCTCTTTCCACCAAGTTGCCTGATCCTTGATATATCTTTTTTGATTGCAGTGGTCTTGGAGGCAAGGAAAAAATTTTCTAGGAACATTCTTTTCAGATCATCCCAGCTTGTAATGGACTTGGGATCCAAATAATACAGCCAGTCTTTAGCAAATCCCTACAGAGAATGTGGAAATGCCTTCAAGTAAATGTGGTCCTCTTGAACATCAGGAGGCTTCATGGTAGAACAACCAATATGGAACTCCTTCAAATGTTTATGTGGATCCTGACCTGCATGACCATGAAACTTGGGCAACAAATGGATTAGTCCAGTTTTAAGCACAAAAGGAACATCCTCCTCAGGATATTGAATGCAAAGACTCTCATATGTGAAATTAGGTGCAACCATCTACGTAAGAGTCCTCTCACAGGGTCCATTATAAGGTTGCTCACCCATGTTTTCTGTTTGAACTAAATCAATTTTTGATGCAACACTCACACTATCACTATGAATATCACTATGTAAATGTGGAATTATGTGCTCTCTAATTAGTCTATGGAACGTCCTATCAAACTCAGGGTCAAATGGATGCAAAAATCCTGGATTGCTCTTAGTCATGCACTACATGCAACACATGCATCAAGACACGTGAACAATAGGGGGAAAATGGGAATTTCCATGAAAACTTAGAAACCATCAAAACTAATGCACCAATATCATCCTAAAATCATTAGAAACTACCACAAAAAATTTCAAAGCAAAATTCTAAGTCTAACTATATGAAAAACCTATGAAAAGTTTGAAAAAATAGGGAAATAAAACTTCAAAATTAGAGAAAAAAAAATAGTAAACGGCCTTTTTTTGAAAATCTAAGCTGGGCCAGCCAATGTAGAGGCTGGGTTTGATAGATCTTTTTTTTCTACCCCAAATGCATATATAATATGTCCAATTCTGATAACTAGAGTAAAAGTTATGGCAGTTTGAAATTTTGCTGAAAACTGGTTTAAAATTTTTCTGTATCTTCAAATCAGGACCACTATAAGTGCCTCTGGGATTTTTTACACAAAATATAGGTTGAAATAAGTGTGCACACAAAATTTGAAGCAAAAATAACAAGTCTAGCTATCAAAACCAAAAATCACAATTAATTGGAAAATTCAGGTATTATTCAACACTATTCACCGGCACACATGAAATGCACAATTTCACAGCACTTCCCAAAATTTTGGCACCCGAATAGAGGAGTAGTAAAGGGAGAAAATAGAGTATGCATAAATGAAACAGAGTATACACGGATTACAAACAGAGCATGCATAAATGAGCTATGGAATACAGCAAAACCAGAATTGACTCTACTGTTTCATTAGATTTATTGTTCCATTGGTTTTCTTAGTGCATGAAACTCAACAGCATGACTTCTTCAATTGACATAATTGCTAGACCTGCAAGGACTAATAACAAACACAAATACACAACATAACATGTAGTGGGACACAAAAATGCAAACACAAGTTGCTACACAAATTCATATACAAGCTGGTATACAAGACTGATCTACAAAACTAATACTACACCAAAAACACATAGAAACACAACAGAGACTCTAAAACACTACACCACACTACTAACAAAAACAAAGAACGCATAACCTTTGATAAGAATCGATGGTCCCCGGTAATGGTGCCAAATTTGATCGAAGTCGTATCTGATCAAATAAAACAATTAAATGCAATACTAGGAAGCTTTCATAGGTCGTCTCCCAAGGACTACCCCTTCTCTATCAAAGGTTAAAACACGAAGTGTGTTAAGTCAGACCAAGAAACTCCCAACAAGGTTTTGAGTGAGACAAATATAATACAAATTGTTATCTCTAATAAGTGTGTTAGTGCTTTAGAAAAACATAAGAACAGGTAAAATGAAGAACAAGCATATGCATTAGACGATACAAGACGACAGACGAAAGGCCAACACAAGCATCCAAAAAGACAAATCAAGAGCAAGACAAAAGTGCGTCAAGCACAACCTAAAGCGAAACATAAAGACTCAGACAAAGGTCAAGGCTTGAGTTACATATAGACCACCAAACGCAGACGAAAGTTGTCACGCAAACACCTGAGGAATCAAGTTTCAAAAGACAATTTGAATATCGTCCACACTCATAAGAGAACACACGAAGTCATCAAAATTGTGAGAAGAAAAGAAGAAAGAAGAAAAGTAAGCACAAAACGTCAAATCCAGAGTGTGTCAAAAAAAGGACACCTACCTTTCTGATAAAGATAATGTCTTTGCAGCTAATCCCTAGGATTTTGTGAAAGTCAGAATCTGTAGATTCAAAACAATATACACATTGTTCATAAACAAGAAGCAACATTTAATGCAAGATCAAGTGCATTAAATGAAAGGATCAAACTAGTCATGAACGACTATATCAGCCTCAACGGACAAATACAACAGGCAAATTTTACAAGCCTATAAATATGCAAGAACCTCAAACAATTTTTTTGTTTTTTGGGAAAAAGGGGCAAGGAGCAATGAAAGAATGACTATATGCATTGCCCTAGGCTTTTAACATTAAGCACCAAAAGTAATATCAAGCCCAAAAGAAAAATAGAGAAATCAGAGATCGATTCTTCATAGTCAAATCTACAATGAATCATTGTATTTGTCTCTCTAGTCTAAGGCGTTCCAAGTGTTTCTTAGGAAGGAGACCTTAGTGAGTGTTGTAATCTTATGTATCCTCTTTGTAAAGAGTAACCCATACATTCAGAATCTTTGTAGGACTAAGGTAGTGAAACTTTAGAGAGTGTAGATCATATATGTATTCTCTCTGTGAGAGTAACCCAAACACTCAAACTTGATTATACGTCTATCACTTGTAAAGCCTGAAGAGGCTAGGAAAAGAATACTTATAAAGCCCGGAGGGGCTTGTCAAAGAATACTCAATGCGAGCTTGAAGAGGCTGATTAAAGAATACTAGTGCTGGTGAGTGAAGCTGGTAAGCCAGGAGTGGTCGAGAATACTTGGATCATGAGTGGTTCTGACTTGGGTGGTCCATAATACTCACTACTAGCCAGAAGTGACTGATAAGAATATACTAGCGCTGGTGAGTGAAGCTAGCGGGTCAGGAGTGGTCGAGAATACTTGGGGAACCAAAAGTGGTTGAAGAATACTAGAGTTGGTGAGTGAAGCTAGCCAACCAGGAGTGGTTGAGAATACTCGTGATCAGGAGTGGCCGTGACCAGGATGGTCTAGAATACTCAGGGCCTGGAGAGGTCGAGAATACTTGGACTAGGAGTGGTTCTGACCTGGGTGGTCCATAATACTCATTGCTAGCCTGAAGAGTACTGATAAGAAAATACTAGCGTTGATGAGTGAAGTCAACGGGCCAGAAGTGGTCGATAATACTTTTGCACTGAATTGCATATTTAGTGGAACCCTTTAGTTGAAGGAGACTGGACGAAGCTCGGTCTGAGTGAACCAGTATAAAATAACTTGCACTGCTAATTCCTATTTCTCAGATGCATATCTTCATTACTGATTAAATCTTTGTGAAAAACTCCATCCACCCAGAATCTCTTACTGAAATCAATTTTCAGACGTAGACGCAAACTTTTTTTAATATATTTAATTCACTAAAAAGTTTTATCTACTTCTTATCTTTAAATGAAACTATCTTGAAAAAGAAAATGCAAGAACCTTAATCATTATTGTTATATGAAACATTTTCCTTCAGCAGATGATAAATCGTTCAGACGCAGTGACCTTATGTTAAGAAAATTCTGGATAACCGTCTAGTATCTAAAAGTGCATTGGACAAAGAACATTACTCTTGCGAAAATGGTTTAAAAATTCCTTCTTACACACAAACACATATTCAACCCCCCTTCTATGTGTTTCATGTCTAACTTCAAAATGGGGGGTGTTTTGGTTCAGATTTATCAAGGTTTAAACCACAATAAAATACAAGTAGAACAGTAAGTAAAATAGGTTGACTCGTTGTTAAGATTGCAACTCTCTTATCCCTGGTTCACTACATATTTCTCTGTTAACAACTTAATCCTTGTTCCATCCGAGTTAACCAACTAAGCGAAGATTAACTCAAGATTTCCCTACATCTTACCTACAGGAATTAAGCAAACGTATACAACATTAAACTTTTCCACAAGATTAAGCAAATTGTGGTATTAAATGTAAACAACCCAGATTCATTAAGCATGAATAGATGTTGAAAACGTATTAATATAAAAATCCAATGAAGAAGAACAAAGCGGAACAAAGATGCATATATAAATAAAACCTCAAATAGAGCTTTCAGTCCGCTCAAGGAGCCAACCCCAAGGATTTTAGCCTTCCATTAAAATGAAAATACAGAGACAGCAAAAAAGGAGAAACAAGAGAAGGAGAAATATGAAGAATCTGTATTCATTCAATGTAAAAGTGCAGTTTTTGATACAACTAGAGAAGAAGCAGAAGAAAAACGTAAAAGCAAAAGCAACAGAACAGAAGAAACGTAAAAAAAAGAAGAAGCAAAAATGTGGTCACATCAAGGTCTAAAAGTTGGTGGCTGCATGGTCAACCCTAAGTCCTAATACCCTAGAAAAGTCAAATGGCCCCCAATCCAAGTGTCTAGCCCAAAATGACAAAAACAGATAATACAAAAATAGGTATCTAAGGTGCTGATGTGGTGTTGATGTGGCGCTAACATGGCACTTTGTGTCTCTTGAAGTCCAAAATATTCAAGCCCAAAAATGCTTCACAATTAACCTGAAAATAATTAATAGACAAAATTAGACCAAGTGAATTGAAATTAATTAAAATTCAAATTACTGGCCCAATGAAGCTCAAACAGTAAACCTATGCAATTAATAAGCGATTAAGCCCAAATCAACAATTAAAATAAGTACAAAAAGATAAATAAATAAGGGAAAATAATGACTCGTCAATGATTAAAGATGATGTTCAATTAAAGCGACAATATGTTTGTAGTTGAAAGTTTATTATTCTCTTCCTTTAAACGACAAACATGGCAAAAGCCTGCAATTTTAGGTTTTTAAAACCATGATTAACAATATTTTTAAACCAGTTATATTTATAGACTCACAATCCAAAAATGAACCCCATGGAACTGTATCCTGAATTCCCTGATAAAGTGTCTAAGAAACATTTTTTTTATGTTAATTCTCTATTTATTTAAGGTATAGTGGTACTTGTTGCCTTGAAATAGGGATCTTGGTATTCTTCCTACTGGTAGTCAAAAGGATCAAGAAAATTAAATTTCAAAGGGCCCAAATGAAGGGTCCTTATTCCTTAATAAATAACAATAATGCTTAATGAAGTTTGACTGGGACAACGTAACACTTGAAATTACTATACATATGAACATCACATGGTACAAAAAAAACTAATGGACTTATGGTGACCTTTTTGACAAGTTGGATTGGAGAGGGAAATCAGAACAAGGTTCATACAAATCTTTTTCCAGGATTAGACTTGAAGATTTCATTGACATTTCTATGCCACAAGAAATTAGGGATAAGGGTTTGCCTCCTAAGTCTTACAAGGTATAATCTGATAAGCAGTTTAAAGGGATTGTCATTTACAGAAACACTCTTTAACACATTGAGAAGAGAGCATGTGTTTTTAGGTGCAGTTGAGCATCACAATAAGCAGACATGTGATATAAATTATTAAATATATAAAAAGATGCAAAAGCACCCATGATTTTAATTAGACTAAGTTTTAGTACAATGTAAAATTTTAAGTATACTTGAAATATAACATCACTGTGCAATAGAAACATCTTGCATTAGCATGCTGATTTTAGAAACATGAAATAAGTTATACGTATACTGTCCTGGTAACCAACGACAAACAAAATAAACCCATTTATCAATCTCGAAAAAAGTATAAAATAAATATACATTAATCCACCATTACAAATTTGGGGACAAAAATGATTTGAAACAGGTACTTGATCAAGTTTAAAAATAAGTTGAACTTGACAGAATGATCTACAACTGTAAAATTTATATATACACCCTAAGGATAAATATATTTCAAAACTCCTTTCTCTCCAACCCAAATGAAAAGTACAATGAACTCCAGCTACTATTTGTAAACTAAGAAAAAACATCCAAAAGAAATAGTAGCAAAATTCACATGCAGGCAAATTATCCATTCTATTATATGTACTTAAAAAGGGGGAAGGGCATAATATTACGTACATAGAGATCTTTAACGGTTCCATTCAAGGATCTAGCAAAATCTAACTTGCAGGGAATAAGTAGAAAACATATCAACTCGATATTCCCTCTTTCAAGCACGTAGTGACAACCTACTTCAATTGTAGAAGTTTCCCCCTCGCCTTCTGCAAATTACTATAGGATGGTTAACCAAGCTGTAAAGAAAATACAAACAATAGGGAAGAGGAAGCTGAACCAGCAAGATATCTCACTCACATCCTAAATTCAATGAATGATGCAAGGGAATCAAAAGATCCTGGTTACTCAAAATAAAAAATCGTGAAACTTACTTTTACGTTTCGATAACTAGCTCAATACAAGTGTGTGTGGCTTTCGATTTTGAAGAATAAGAGAGTAGAATGAGAGATGAAAAGAATCAAGTTAATATGAGTGTTTGTGGCTTATGAATGTGAAGAAAAAGCGAGTAAAATGAGAGATGAAAAAGAAATGAAATGTTGCCATTAGGATTGACTTAGAGAGATAGGTTCAAGATGGAGAGCTTTGTACTCTTTTTTCTTTTTTGGTGTGGAAACGCAACATATAACATTTTAACCAAATTTTTTTTAAGAATAAAAAAATAGATTTTAAGTAAAAACAATAATTATTGTTTAAAATTAGTAATTAAGTAAATAATAGTAAAATCTATTATTAAAAATATTTAAAATATTGGATAAATTAGTAATATTTAATGTTAAAAAGTAAAAAAAAAAAAAAATTAAATAAAACAATAATATTTAAGATTAAAAATATTACTAAAAAATATAATTTAAGTTAATTAGTAACATTTTATAAAAATGTTACAAAAATATATAATTAAAAGAAATTAATAACATTTTATTACATATTGACAGATAAATATTAATAAATGTGATATATATAATAATAAATTACAAATCAAATATATAAAATTTCTTTAATATCTAAGATTTTTAATCATTAATTTTTGTCGGATTTAGATACCAATAAATAAAGAAATTTAAATCCAAACTTGACGGTAAAACCCATTAAAATCCAATCTTTAAAATCTAAAAGTCTGAACACTCAAATCAGCATGTCCGCAGCTGAACTGAACACTCAAATCATGCAGTTCATCTTCAAAAGTGGGTTGCTTTGGCGTCTCGCAATTTTTTTATCACGCCTAGAGAGAAGCACAAAAAGGACAAACATTTTGTTGTTTCCAAAAAAATAAAAGTACAAACATGATTGCGGACACGGACAGAATTAGCAGTTGACACTAAATAGAAAAAAAATCCTTTCACATTCGCTCATTGTTTATCACACACACAGTTGTTCACACAGTAGCCAGCCAGTTCTCGAATAAAGCGGTGCCTATTCATATTCCCTCAATTAATTAACGTGTGTGGTACTGGCAAACTAGGAGAGACATGAATCATGATTCTAATTTCATTCCCCCAAAGCATATATAAAACACGGTAAGTTACAAATTCCTATTGCTAATAGTTTAAAATCAGAGAAATGCGATGGTTTTCGGGAATTTTTTACCTAAATAATATTTTTTTTTTTAAATTATAAAAGTAACATATGTGAAACTTTATTCACTGAAATAGAACTAATCATTGTTCATGCTTAGAATTCAGTTTTCTGGAAATCAAATTCTGAGTTTCAATATTTTTTTTTTTATTATCAAAATTCGGTTTCCGGAGAATCGAATTCTGAGTTGTTTTAAAAAAAAAATTTCAAGTTTGTGGCCCATTTTGGGAAAATGTTAGAAGTGGAACGGTCCGTTCCGGAAGCAGAACGGGCCGTTCTACTTAATCACACAGAGTCTTTTTTTTTATAAATAAAAACAGGCTAAGAACGGGTCGTTCCAGAGTTAAGGTTTTACGCATAAGTTGACTTCTAAAACAGCCCGTTTGAAAGAATGATTTTAGTTATTTTTTTTAAGCTGGAACGAGCCGTTTTTGTTTTAGAACGGGCCGTTCCAAAATAGAAATTTAAACATTTTTTTTGAATTTGGAACGGCCTTGGAATGGCCCGTTCCAGAAGACGTTTTTAGGAATTAAAACGTGGTTTGGAACGGGCCGTTCTGGTTTTGGAACGGTCCGTTCTAGGCAAACAATGAATACGCTGCTTTTCTTATAAATAGGCTCCCTACCCTTCATTCTCTCCACACGATTTTAGTTCAGTTTCACTCCTTTATTCCTTCCCTGTACTGCTTCTGAATCACCTTCATAGTAAGAAATTCTTTTTTTGGTTCGATTTTCATTAACCAAATATCAAAAATGTTATTGTGGAAGCAAAATGAGCATAGGTCTGCCTTCATTAGTAGAACGGTAAGTTTAGCACTTTCGTTATTTACTTTAAATTTCAATGAACTTGTAACAAATTAGTACTAATTTTGTTAATTATTGCAGGAGACTGAGAATATTATTTGTTCTTACCGTCATTCAATGTCAGAACCCCACCCTCTAATAGTTCCTATACTAGAGGAAGTTGGTTTTTCTGGGGTTGCAAACCTCAGACATCTGAAAGTGGATCACGCATTAATCACAGCTTTGGTTGAAAGATGGAGGCCTGAGACTCATACCTTCCGTTTTCCAACAGGGGAGTGCACCATAAGACTGGAGGATGTTGCCGCTCAACTTGGCCTAAGAGTTGATGGTTTACCAGTCATTGGCCCAACATTATATGACTGGGAGGAAATGTGCTCCACGTATCTCGGAATTGTGCCAGTTAAAGGTGAGTCACTAATTGGCTCTGTGATTAAGTTAAAGTGGTTAAGAGAAAATATGTTAGAACTACTAGAGGAACCATCTCAAGAACAACTTCATGCACATTGTAGAGCATATATATTAGGTTTAATAGGAGGTGTTTTGATGCTTGACAAAACAGGCAATAAGGTACATCTTATATATTTATCTTTATTAATAAATCTTAGAAGAACAAGACGATATAGTTGGGGGTCGGCTTGTTTGGCTATGTTATATAGGGAAATGTGTAGAGCTACAAATGTCAGCAGCAAAACAATGGGTGGTTGTGCATCTTGGTTACAGTCTTGGGCATGGCATCGCATGCCATATATTGCGCCTATTTCCAGGATACCATCAACATTCCCTCTAGTCTGTAAATGGAGCGGGGGCAGAGTTTTAAACTTTCAAAATATACCTCATAATGATGTTGTTGGATATAGATCAAGGTTTGATCACATTTAGAATGATCAGGTAACTCTTTAAAATCAAAGTTTTATTATTTTTTTTATTTTCTTTTGTTTAGCATATTATGTTAACTAAAAAAGTTTAATTTTTTTGTAGTTTTTATGGGCTCCATATGCAGTGTTGCAAACAGCAATACCGATGCAAGCATATACAAATGCTCAGCTATGGACATCATATACCTCCATTATTTTTTTTACAATTATTGAACGGCACCAATCTGATAGAGTGAAATTGCAATTTCGTCTCTTCCAGGATGTCCCTTCTCCACCGAATAATTTGGATAATCTGCACAACATTGACATGAGGGGAAGACAAGATGAAAATTGGGTTACAAGACATGCTCAATGGATCGACATATGGAACAATAGACATGAGCACACATTGATGGGTCATCCAATGCAAGGCCCACTGTTTCACACATGAGAATACATCGAATGGTACATGGCCAATTCCATCTATTTTTTATCTGTGCCACGACTACTACAAGATCCAAGGACCCATCAACAACGAAGGACTTCCACAACATTTGAGACTGGTGCAACTTCCATGCGATCGCATGAAGAGACTTGTCAGCATGTATCAAATCCTCACTACGTCACTCCTAAAGAAAACATAATTGACAGACGACATTCATTTGCAACAACTTCAGAGGATTTTTTTACAAATTTATTTGGAGTAGATTTTAGAACTCCATCTTCAGCACAATCATACATGCGATCTCTTTACCGACCAAAATTCGGTAATGAACCTGGAAGTTCTTCAACACCATTTCAACATCCGGTGGTTGATGATGAACCAAATCCTTCTGAGCAATAACCTCCATGGCATAATCTAGGCCGTAATAGACGTCGCCCTCGTTGTGGAAC